TATCATACCCACAATGTGAGTTGTGCCGCTGCAACCTTCAGGCCACGTGCAAGTGAAGGGTCCATACTTTTGCCTTGCCATGTGGCGCCAATAGCGTTCACCATGCACATTTCCCGACACACCTTGGTGGACCATAAAGCTGCCATGCCAGGCCAACAGTCCCGCCCATGCCAAGATTCAGCCAAGACAAGCCAAGCCAAGCCAAGCCACGCCAAGCCAAGCCATGCCAAGCCCAGGTGCATGTGATAATGTACATTCGTTGAGGCGTTGCAAAACAAATGTACTATTGCTGTGTTGTCCTAGCACTCGTCTAGCAAGCAGAAGGTACTCACGCCCAACCAGGGGATCCGCCACGCAAGCAGGCCCCGAGGCAGGGGAGAATGAGCCATCCATTCTACTCTGCAATGAAACACAACGATGGTAGGTTCTTGTCTCGAAGGGCATTCTGAAGTGAGGGCGAGGGGGTTCAGACTGACGTGGCTTCTTGGACCTTTGCAGCCCATCGGAGGTTGCAGCAACTGTCCCTTCTCCAGCCTCATATTTTCGGGCTGTTGGTGTGGTGAAGGTGGGCGTGTGATCGCTTCGGTGGCTGCCTGCTTGCCAAAGCATCTGCAAGTCACCATGGCTGTCAGGAACTGCTTCTCGCATTGCACTGCTTTCCCACGTGTTGCGGCACATGTTCCTTGAGCTGCTATGGCGTCAGGGACGGCTTTTGACATTGCTGTTGCAAACCGCATTAGTGGTCTTCCAGTTGTGAAGGATAAATAATTTCTGCCCAGGTCGAGTAGGGGTCAGAGCGTATGATGCAGCTCCACCCACCCACCTCATCGTGCATGAACTTGCTCATAAGAAGTTTGATACAGCCCCACCCTCAGTTCTGCATTACAATATGCTCGAAGACTCTATATTTGTTTGTGATTTTATGCTCATTCCTTTCCACACCAGTTTGGTTTTTATCCCATGTCTATATTGGCTCACACTTGTGCACATCCATTACCGTGACCCCCGTCGCCCGTCGTCGCGTCCTGGGGGCCCGCGCGTCGCCCCTCCTCTCGTCGCCCGTCGTGGCGCCCCGGGGGCCCGCGCGTCCCCCCCCTCCCGTCGCCCGTCGTCGCGTCCCGGGGGCCCGCGCGTCGCCCCTCCTCCCGTCGCCCGTCGAAGCGCCCCGGGGGCCTGCGCGCCGCCCTTCCCGTCGCCCGCCGCGGCGCCCTGGGGGCCCGCGCGTCGCCCTCCCTCTCGTCGCCCGTCGAAGCGCCCCGGGGGCTGCGCGCCGCCCTTCCCGTCGCCCATCGCAGCGCCCCTAGGGACCCGTGCGCCACCTGCATTTAGGGTATGGGATGGCGGGTGTGGGGGTGGCGGGGTGTGTGCGCCGTCCCCTGCTCATCCTCCTACTCCGTCTCCCACTGCTGCAGGCTGCCGCTGAGGGGGGTGGGTGTGTGGGAGCCGAAGGAGTGGTGCTAGGGGGGTGTCGTGGGAGTGAAAGCTAGGGGTGCAGCAAGGGGTGTGTGAACGGGAGTTTTGGACAAAGGGGGAGGTTGAAGGGGGGTGGGCCGCCGTGAAGCCAGCAGCTCTAGTCGCACCGTGAGACCGTTGCGCCAGTCGCCCGTGAGCCCGTCGCTCCATTCGCCCGTGAGCCGGTTGCTCCAGTCGCCCGAGAGTCAGTTGCTCCTTGCAGCTCGTCTAGTCGCGGAGCCAGTTACTCCAGTTGCCCATGTGCCAGTTGCTCCAGTTGCGCCGTGTGCCAGCAGCTTCAGCTGCCCGCCCACTACCTCCTCTCCTCTCATAGTCCCCTCCTCCTCACTTGCCCTCTGTGATAGCCTCTAGCTTTGCTTATATTTGTAAACAATGAACTGCGCTTGTTGTGCTGATCATACCCCACTTTGACTATGGGGGTGTGTCAGAATGTGTAGTTTCTCTAGCCTGCAGTGTGGTACTCTATAGTGAGTACGGCCCCTTAGGGTTTCCTATATGTATCCTACCTGCTTGCTAGTGAAACGCCTCCTTTTTGCTTATTCTCTCTTGCCTAACTAGCCCAAACTCGAGTTATGGCTCCTCGTTCTGCCTACTATTCTGACAACCTCATCACTCACCTCCGCACTAGTCACACCGCTACAGCGCTGCGCTTCCCTCCGAGTTTCGCGCCAAGAACCCCCCCCCCCCCCCCCCCCCCCCCCCCCCCCCCCCCCCCCACCCCCCCCCCCCAAGTACATCACCCTCTTCTACCTAGTCACCCGTCTCCCTGACTCTCTCCGCTCAGTCAGGGACCACTTTCCTCTCCTTTGCCCCACTGAGCTCACCGTCGACCTGCTTGGGGAGCGCCTCCCTTGCAGTTGAGACTAGCATAGTCGCTGTAGGAGTGTCTCGAGGCGACCCTCGCGCCCCTTTCTTTGAGGGGTGCTCCCCCGTTCCCCTTATGCCCTCTGTTGCTTCTGCTGCTACTATCGACCTCGTTGGCACCGAGGCGGTCGGGGCTGCGTCTGCTCCTAGTGGGAGGCGCTGCAGCGGCAAGGGCAGGGGGGGCAAGGGTGGTGGAGAGCACGGCGGGGGCGGCGGTGGTGGCGGTGGAGGAGGTGGAGGGGATGGGAGTGGAGGTGGGGGTGGAGGCGGGAGTGGGGGCGTCGGTGGCGGCGGTGGAGGTAGAGGCCGCGGCGGCATCGGCAAAGGGTGGTGGCGGCGGCGGCGGTGCTGGTCGGGGTGGAGTCGTGCAGCGTGCAGGCTTTGGCGGTGGCCAGCGCCAGCAGCAGCCGCGTTCCCGTGAGGCCCCGTCGCTCCAGCAGCTTCGTGAGTGGTAGCTGGGCATGGGAGGTCTGGGGGTACTGGTCCCTGCGCTTAAGTTCTCCGCACAGGCGACCACCGTGGGGAGACGTGCGGGCTGCCACACGCTACGCAGCGCTGTTTCGGTCGCCTGACTAACGCCTGGCGCGCACAGTTTTCTGACGCTACTGAGCTCCCTCGCTAGGCTGATCTGCTTAAGTTTGGTGTTGCTATCTTTGATCTTGATTATGATGCTATCCTTGCTGCCATGTATGCTGTGACTATTAGTGCTGAGGGTGACTGTTACCTGTGTGTGCCGCCTGACCCAGGTATAGAGGCTGCTGCTCTGGTGCTAGTGAGTCTGCTACTCCAGGTACTGGTGAGCCTGCTGCTCCAGGTGCTGGTGAGTCTGCTCTCTCAGGTAGTGCGCGTGCTGAGGCCTTGCACACTTTCACTCTTGACTACGGTGCTTCCCGCTCTTTCTTTCGCGACAGCACCACACTCACACCGCCCAGTCGGCCGGTTGCTGTCTCCCTGGCGAACCCCTCTGGGGGCCCAGTCCTTGCACACTCCTCTACTGTTCTGCCGTGTCCGGCGGTCCCGTCTGGCTCACTGTCGGGTCTCCACCTCCCCTCATTCTCTACGATCTTGGTGAGTGGAGCTGACCTCTAGGACGTGTGGGTTGACCAGTTCACTCCTGGTGGTTAGCGGGTGGCCCACTGCACGTGTACTCGGATAGGCCGCCACCTCGCCACGTTTACCCGTCAGCCTGGGTCGAGCCTGTACACCCTGACTACTGCGTCCCCTCCAGTTACTGCGTCTGGTCAGGTAGCCGCGTCTGGTCAGGTGTTTGCTGCTGCGTCCAGGTCTGGTCCGGAGTCTGCCCCCTGCTCATGTCGTCTCCTGTCACACCTGACTCTCCTTTGGCACCACCGGCTTGGTCACCCCTCCCTGCCTCGTCTTCAAGGTATGGCCTCCCGTGTCCTTGTCACTGGTCTCTCCCGGTCTCTCCCTCCCCTCCCACCGGGGCCTGCCCCTACCTGCGTTCCTTGCATCGAGGGACGGCAGCGCGCCGCTCCTCACTCCTCCGAGTTCCCTCCGACGGAGGCTCCCCTGCAGACTCTACATGGACGTGTGGGGCCCAGCCCGCGTCCGTGGACAGGGTCTCGAGCGTTACTTCTTGCTGGTCGTTGACGACTACTCGCGTTACACCACAGTCTTCCCCTTGCGTCGCAAGGGTGAGGTCACTGAGGTGCTGATCGACTGGATCCGCGCTGCCCGTCGCCAGCTCAGCGAGAGTTTTGGCTCGGACCTTCCTGTTCTACGTCTGCACTATGACAGAGGTGGAGAGTTTTCCTCCGACCTTCTGCAGGCCTTTTGTCGTGCGGAGGGCATCCGCCAGACGTTCACGCTTCCGGCCTCCCCACAGCAAAATGGGATTGCTGAGCGCCGCATTGGCATGGTCATGGACGTCGCTCGTACGTCCATGATCCATGCGGCTGCTCCCCATTTTCTGTGGCCATTCGCGGTTCAGTACGCTGCGCATCAGCTCAACCTCCAGCCCCGTGTCTCCGTTCCGGAGACCACACCTGCTCTGCGGTGGACGGGGAAGGTTGGCGATGCGTCTGTTTTCCGTGTCTGGGGATCTTGAGCTTTTGTCCGCGATTCTTCCGCGGACAAGCTGTCCTCCCGTGTTGTTCCCTGCGTCTTCCTTGGCTTCCCCCCTGATGCGCCTGGCTGGCAGTTTTACCACCCCACCTTGCGCCGTGTTCTGTCCTCTTAGGACGTCGGTTCCCTACTACCGTCTCTTCCCCTACCGCACTGCCCCCCTTCCCCCTCTCGCCGCTCTTCCTAGCACCAGGTCCTCCTCCGGTAGACCCCCTCCCCCTCAGGGTCCTGCCCCCTCACGTGTGTCCCAGGTAGACCCTGTCAAGCCTGTCGAGGTAGCTGTCGACTCTGGTACTGCAAGGGGTGCTGAGCCTACTGGTACGGGGCCTGGGTGTGCTGAGCCTGCGGGTGCGGGGCCTGGGGGTGCTGAGCCTGAGCGTGCGGAGCCTGGGGGTGCTGAGCCTGGGGTTGCTGAGTCTGAGGGTGCGGAGCCTGGGGGTGCTGAGCCTGAGCGTTTGGAGCCTGGGGGTGCTGAGCCTGAGCGTGCTGAGCCTGAGCGTGCTGAGCCTAGAGGTACTTTGTCCTTTGGAGGTGGTCCGGGTGTCTTGTCCCGGCGAGAGCCACTCTCTCCACCGCAGTTGCGCGAGTGGTTTGCTCGGCGCTGGAGCCGTACTACTGGAGCTGGAGTTCCTGCTGCTGCTAGAGCTGCTGGAGGTACTGGAGCCACTGGTCACGGAGGTGCTGGTACTGGAGCTGATGGGGCTGGTGGTACTACAGGAGTTGGAGCTGGAGGCGCTGGAGCTGTTTCTGCTGTAGGTGCTGCTGGTGCTGGAGCTGGTGGTGCTGCAGGACTTGGAGCTGGAGGCGCTGGAGCTGTTCCTGCATGTGGTGCTGCAGGAGTTGGAGCTGGAGGCGCTGGAGCTGTTCCTGCTGGTGGTGCTGCACGAGTTGGAGCTGGAGGCGCTGGAGCTGTTCCTGCTGGTGGTGCTGCTAGTGCTGGAGCTAGTGGTGCTGCAAGAGTTGGAGCTGGAGACCCTGAAGCTGGGGGTGCTTGAGCCGTCTTTGCTGGTTCTGGTGGTGCTGCACGGTCGCGGCCGTACTTCGTTCCACTCCTTCAGCAGGTTCTTGGTCTTCCGCCTTCTACTGGTCCTACTCCTCCCTTAGAGTGTCCACCGCCTGTCCAGTCGCAGTCACAGTTACCGTCGGCCTCCCCACTGCCTGGTCCTTCTCTTTACACTGGACCGACCTGAGGTCTTGCTGAGCGTCGTGAGCCTGCGTCTCGCCCTGCGTCGCCTGTTCGCGCTACTCGCACTAGTCGTCGTGTTCCGCATCCGCGTCCTCCTCCTGTCCCCGGCACGCACCAGATGGCACTTCGTCCTTCCTCTGTTCCACTGCGTGTCCCTCTGCCGTCTCCTCCTGCGTCCTCCCTTTCTGACGGTCCGGACCCCGAGTGTGACTCACTTCGTGCTGCCAGCCCTACCATCACGCGTCTACTAGCTACTGTTGTCACTGACCCTTCCTTTGAGTCCACTGCTGCGTCTGCCTTAGTTGCTGAGCTTGTCGACTTTGCTGCTCACTGTCGTCTAGACTACGCCGCTAGTCTTGTTGCTGTGTCTGAGTCTGTGTGTCCTCCGTCCGTCGGGGGTGAGTGTGCTCTTGGCACGGACGTCCTTGAGGACAGGCAGGAGGACTTTGAGTACTTTGCAACTGCTGTACCTCATCTCGTGTCCATGCTGAGTGCACCTGAGGGAGACCCGGATGCACCAGACATCCCGACCTCGCGCTCTTATGCAGAGGCGATAGAGGGTCCTTACTCCTCTCAGTGGCAGTCAGCCATGGACGCAGAGATGGCATCCTGGAAGTCCACAGCACTTATGTCGATGAGGTTCCCCCTCCTGGGGCGAACATCGTCAGTGGCATGTGGATTTTCAGGGTGAAGCGGCCGCCGGGTTCTCCGCCTGTCTTCAAGGCGCGTTACGTTGCTCGAGGCTTCAGTCAGCGAAAGGGAGTTGACTTCTTCCAGACCTTCTCCCCGACCCCGAAGATGACCACTCTTTGGGTTTTGCTGCACGTCGCCGCTCAATGTGACTACGAGCTTCACTCTCTTGACTTCAGCACTGCTTTCCTACAGGGCAGCCTGCACGAGGAGATCTGGCTGCGCCGCCCACCTAACTTCACTGGGTCGTTTCCTCCTGGTACCTAGTGGAGCCTCCGGCGGCCAGTCTACGGTCTCTGCCAAGCGCCTCGCTGTCAACGGGATTTGTGTTTGGCCCCGTCCTCGCTTGGGCGGAGTCGAGCGTGGGAGCCACGAAATCGTGGTGGACCGTGGGAGCCACGAAATCGCGGTGGACCGTGGGAGCCACGAAATCGCGGTGGACCGTGGGAGCCACGAAATCGCGGTGGACCGTGGGAGCCACGAAATCGCGGAGGACCGTGGAGCCACAAAACCGCGGGAGGACCGCGGTGGCCGAGAAACCGCGGGAGGACCGCGAAATACCCGGTCGACCAGGATACCCGGGCGACGTGCGCGAAAGTCGCCGGGGATGTTGTCTACGAAGACGATCTCGGGGGTGGTATCCCGAGGTCGACGTGGCTGGTGGGCGCCGTCACGGGCGGAGTGTCTGCGCTGGGCATGTGACGGGGAGTTGGGCGCCAACCAGCTGCACGCACCTGCGAAGCTGGTGCACCGTTGTCCCGCGGATGCAACGCTGTGCATCCGACATACTGCAGCGTTGGCACACCGCGGACTTGCAACGTTGGCAAGCCGCGACTCTGCTCTGCTGGAGCGCGGTCGATCAAGTCGTGCTGGCACGCGGTCGACCATGCTGCGCTGGCAGTGGACCAGCAGCCTTGCTAGGTCTGATGTAGTCAGTGTTGCCAATGTTGGTACAATCATTCTGAACTTTTGTTGTCACGTTTTCCTAGTGAAACTCTTGCAAATTTTCCCCGTGAACTAGCAAGCAGTGTTAGCACTAAGGAACGACTAAGGAAGGAACGAACGCTACGATCACTCTTGCCCCGTGCCTAGCCCGTAGTCTAGCTCCCGTTGCACTAGTTATCTCCGCATGGTGCGGTGAGCGTGGACGACACTGCGACGAAACCTTTGGTTTAGCTGACTTCTCACTCACCTAGCTTGTTCGTAGACCGGCAGCTGTGCGGTAGTCACTATGGTAGGAGCCGTGAGTGACGGAGGGGTGGTGGACACCCTGGAGGCACGGGTGGAGAACGCGAGGAGAAAGCACGAGGCCAACGAGTATGGCGACATCCCCTGGACGGTCGTCGAGGCTGGCATCCGCTCCTTGTGGGCGACGGAGCACCCTCCCTCTCGGCCTGCGTCTCCTTGACCGGTGAACAACGCGGGCGGCGTCGACGCGGACGTCAACGCGGGTGGTGGCCAAGTCGGCAGCAGCGCGGGAGGCACATCGAGGCAGCGAGGTGTGATTCACACCGATGAAGTTTGCGGCGTTCAGGCGCGAGGGATGCAGTCGTCCGCAGCTGCAAGGGCCCCGCGAAACTACGTCGGAGGCAGACGAAGTGAATTGGCGCCGATGTCGGCGACACACGTGACCACGGGAGGAATTGCGCCGAGTTACGGCTACTTCAAGTTTACGCCGGACAGGATCTCGGTCACCCCTCTGCTGGTCGGTCGTCCCGACATCCTCACGTGGAAGGAAGCCATCGAGCCCCAGCTGGAGATGGCCGGGCTGATTGGCTTCGCCCGCGGAACCGTGGCGACGCAGGAGGAGCACTACCCCGACCTGCGAGCGGAATTTCGCGCCGTGCAGCTGCTGACCTTTACGGTCATTTCGCGGTGCTGCTCGCCGGGCGTACAGATCGCCCTGAAGTCGTGCAGGGAGTACCTCGACGCTGGCCACTGGGCGTGGCATTTCATCGAGTCAACTTACCAGGTCACCTTGTCGACGTCGGGAATGCTGGCTGTGCGGCGATCCCGATCACCTCTCCTTCGAGTGCCCCGACCGCAGCGATTCTGACGATGACGACGCGAAGGGAGGCCGCGGAAGTTCTGGCAGCCGTCATCCGCGTCGAGGAAACCAACCGCGAAAAGAAAAGCAGTCGACGAAATCGACCTCGGCGAAGGACGCCGACTCTTCCGCGGGTGGCAAAGGGCGAGACGGTAAGGAGGCGTCGTGCTCGCTGGTCGGTATCGTGGAGCCGACTGTCTCGCTGGCGCCGGAAGCTGGCGAGGATTTCCAGGCGGTGGCGGCAGCTGTGCAGGCGAACCCCGCGGTGGTCCTGCTCGACAGCGGCTGCTCGCACCACCTGATGGGGACGAAGGCGGCCTTCGTCGAATTGGGGCCGAGCGGCGATGTGAAACATGTGCGTGGCTTCAATGGGGCGCTGCAGGACGTTCGCGGCCGTGGCACGGTTGCGCTGCAAGGGGAGGCCGGGAAGCGAGTGCTCATCTCCGACGTTCTCTACGTCCCGGGCGTGCAGGCGAATCTGCTTTCGGCTGGCCAGCTGAAGGAGAGCGGGGTGACGCTGAAGGACGACGGCGATCGAATGTTGCTCGTCTCCGCGGCGGGGGACGTGCTCGGTCGAGCGACGTACACCGGCCGGGTCCTCTGCACTGGCCTACGCCCATGCACGGTAAAGGCGACGACGCCCGCGAACGAGGAGGTAGCTCTGCGGGCGATCGTCTCGGCGACGAAGGCAACCCCGAACAGGCTGCACGCGAGGCTTGCGCATGTTGGCATGGACACGATACGGAGCTCGGCGAAGCACGAGGTCGCCACTGGGCTGGACCTCACGTCGGCGTCTGGCACCGACTCCTCGTGTGTTTCGTGCGTCGGCGGGAAGCTGGCGCGGCACACCTTCCCCGACCACGGCTCCGAAGCCGACGATGTCCTGGCCGTCTTGCACATTGACTTGTGCGGGCCATTTCGCGTGGCTGCCAAGGACGGAAGCTTGTACTTCCTGCTGCTGAAGGACCGCAAGACCCGCTACGTGTGGGTGCGGCCGGTCGCCAAGAAGTCGGACGTGCTGCTGGAGTTCCAGAAGTGGTTGGTGCTGGTGGAGTGGCAGGCGAAGCATTCGGTGCTGCAACTGCGCTCTGATCGCGGAGGGGAGTTCCTCGGCAAGGACTTCACCGCCTTCGTGGACAGCAAGGGCATCATCCACGACTTGACATGCCTCTACACCCCGCAGCAGAATGGCATGGCGGAGCGGGAGATGAGGACGGTGGTAGAGTCGGTGCGGACGATGCTGCTGCACATGGGCGTGCAACACCACTGGTGGCATCTCGCTCTGCGGCAGGCCGTCTGGGTTCGCAACTGCCTGGAGCGGTCGACGCTGCCCGCGGGGACGACGCCATACCAGCTTCTCACCAGGCAGAAGCCCGACCTGTCACTGGTGCGGGTGTGGGGCTGCATGGCACAATTTCTCGTCCCTGAGCAGCAGCGCGGTGGGAAGCTGAAGCCGAAGGCCCGGTGGGGGCTTCACCTCGGCGTGTCGGAGGAGAGCAAAGGCTGGGAGCTCCTTGACATCGCCGACAACCGGGTGGTCACCACGTCGGACGTGGTGTTCTACGAAACTCTGTCGCTGGAGGTGTGGAAGTCGGAATTCAGGCCCGCGTCGGGGCGGACGCGGGCCAACCCGCCGACGGACACCTCGACGGCGACGCTTCCTCTGCTCGCCGAGGTCGGTGAGCAGGCTGATGAGGATGTCGCGGTCGCCCCTGCCTCGCCATCTCCTGCCCCTTCTTCCCATCCCCTTCCCGTCGAACTGCGTGGCCTTCCTCCGGTGTCGGCCTCCGGCGGTGAGGGGAGTCGTGGGGCGTCGCCTGTGGCGCCGGCCAAGAGCACCGCCGGTGGCCGACGTGAGCCAGTCGCGGAGAAGAGGACCGTGGAGGAGACCGCGAAGAAAACCGCGACGGGCACCGCGAAGGACACCACGAAGGACACCGCGAAAACCGCGAAGGAGACCGCGGAGGATACCGCGGAGGAGACCGCGGAGGAGACCGCGGAGGAGCCCGCGGCTAGCAGGCAGCTGACAGGGGATCAGGCAGCGGCTAAGCCGACCGCGGAGCAGTTGGCAGGGGAGCTCTCGAACGGGAAGCGCGTTTCAGAGAAGCCGTCGACAGTGGAGCCGTCGAACGCGGAGCTCGCTTCAGAGGAGCGGACGACAGGGGAGCAGTTCGATGAAGGCACATCGAGCGACGTGGTGGAGGTGCAGCCCGGATCTCGGAAGTGGCAGCAAGCAGGACGGATGGTCTTTCAAGGCACTCCAAAGATGGCAAGGCAAGGCAGAGGGAGGGGCGGGGGAGCGGCCTCACGGTGAGGGGCGACCAGCACTGGCCACCACGCGTGATACTACCTTGGAGTTTGGCGGTGGACCAGAGTCGCTCGAGCTTGTTGGCTAAGTGGACGGCGACGACGTCGGTGACAAGCAGACGCGGACGAGCACGTGAGGCTACGTGTTCGTCTACGGAGAGGCCGCCGTCTCCTGGTCGAGCCAGCGTATCAAGTGCGCTACGGTGTCGTCGACAGAGTCAGAGTACGTGGCGGCCACTGAATCTGGCAAGGAGAGACGTCGTCTTCGCTTCCTCCTTGCGGAGTTCCGACAGCTGGATGCCGGGAAGCCGACCATCCTCCGGGTGGACAACAAGTCGGCCATCACGATCGCCGAGGGCATGGGGTTGACAGGCAACCTCAAGCACATGGAGCGGCTAAAGGCCTGGCTGCAACATATGGTGAAGCGAGGGAAGTTTTCTCTGAAGTACATCCCGACCGCTGAGCAGCCGCCCGACTTCCTGACAAAGGCGCTGCAATTTCCGGCCTTCAACCAGTGCTCCGTTGCAATCGGCCAAGTGCGTCTGGCCGACGTGGGCGACGGCGACGACGACGTGCAGCATTAGGTGGCATGCCCTCTTGCATGGCTGGTGCGGTGGACGACGTGCTGTGTGTTGGGTGCACGCCAACGAGCTATTCTCTGAGGAGTACTGCCGTACGGGCTGGGGGCCCAAGCGTGAACGCGGTAGGGGAATGTCAACGGGAGTTGAGTTTGGCCCCCTCCTTGCTTGGACGGAGCCGACTTCGTGGTCGGGTGTGAGGGGAGCAGCCGACCGGCAGCAGTGGGCTAACTGGTTGACGGGGTTGGTCGACCTGCACGGGCGCCGACTTCAGGGTGGCGCCGACTTCGGGGAGGTCGACCTGGGAAGTCGACCAACGGAGGGCGTCGACTTGG